GGAACCTATTCTATATACATCCGAAGAAGTGGGCTGTAGTCCACGAAAGCTTATGCTCTAATAAATTTGTTAGTCTCTAAGGTGCCACAAGTACTCCTGTTCTTTTTCCTAGTTCTTGTGTTATGAGGAGTACATAACACTTCCTTATTTACTTTCTTCACATCAGTCATGATTTTCTAGACCTCATCCTACCCCCCTAGTTGTCTCTTTTCCAAGCTGAAAAGTCCCAGTATTATTAATCGATACTCATATGGAAGCCATTCCACGCCCCTAATAATTTTTGTTGCCCTTTTCTGAACCTTTTCCAATTCCAATATATCTTTTTTAGATGGGGCAACCACATCTGCACATAGTATTCAAGATGTGGGTGTACTGTGGATTTATATAGAGGCAATATGATATTTTTTGTCTTATCTATCCCTTTCTTAATGATTCCCTACATTCTGTTTGCTTTTTTGACTGCCGCTGCACATTGAATGGCTGTTTTCAGAGAACTATCCACGATGACTCCAAGTTCTCCTTCTTAAGTGGTAACAGCTAATTTCAGACCCCATCATTTTATATGTATAGTTGGGATTATGTTTTCCAATGTGCATTACCTTTGCATTTATCAGCATTGAATTTCATCTGCCATTTTGTTTCCCAGTCACCCACTTTGGTGAGATCCTTTTGTACCTCTTTGCAGTCTTCTTGGGACTTAACTATCTTGAGAAGTTTAGTATCATCTGCAAATTTTGCCACCTCACTGTTTACCCCTTTTTCTAGATCATTTATGAATATGTTGACTAGGACTGGTCCCAGTACAGACCCCTGCTGGACACCATTATTTACCTCCATTATGAAAACTGACCATTTATTCCTAACCTTTGTTTCCTGTCTTTTAACCAGTTACCAATCTATGAAAGGACCTTCCCTCTTATCCCATGATAGCTTACTTTGCTTAAGAGCCTTTGGTGAGGGACCTTGTCAAAGGCTTTCTGAAAATCTAAGTACACTATATCCACTGGATCCCTCTTATCCACATGCTTGTTGACCTCCTCAAAGAATTCTAATAGATAGGTGAGGCATGATTTCCCTTTACAAAGACCATGTTGACTCTTCCCCAACAAATTATGTTCATCTATGTGTCTCGACAATTTTACTATAGTTTCAACCAGTTTGCCTGGTACTGAAGTCAGGCTTACTGGCCTGTAATTGCTGGGATCACCTCAGGAGCCTTTTTAAAAATTGCTCTAAAGCTGTAAAACGTTTGTTCTGAAACTGTGTGTGACATTGCACTCTATATGATTCTATGAAAGTATGCTGATGAGTGTGAATATAATGTAACTAAAATATGCTTCATGCAAAAGTCTCTTGTAAGGTATCATTACAAAGCTTAGAATTTACTGAGTGTGGTCATCCTATTTGTATAAATGTATCTCTCTTGTATCTGAAACTAGAAATATGAAATATAACTCTGAGGTGCTATTGTAGTTATGCAAAGTGTGGGCCATTAATGATGGTTTGGAATCTTAATGGCTCCCATTAAACAGGACGATTGACTGTAGATGGCTGTTTTACTTGTAAGTCTTCCTTTATACGTGTGTGCTGGCAAGTGGGTAATGAAGTCTTACAGTGACACATGACCATGTCACCTGAACTGGAATCCATCTTTAACCTGGTGTTTTTCCATTGAGAAGGAGGGGTGGAAACCCAGAGGGACTTATTGAAACATCTCTGAGAGTGAGATTTTATCTGCATGCAGTTTTATTACTGTATTAGGCTTAGACTGGCATGTTTTATTTTATTTTACTTGGTAATTCACTTTGTTCTGTCTGCTATTACTTGGAACCACTTAAATTCTACTTTCTGTTTTTAATAAAATCACTTTTTATTAATTAACCCAGAGTATGTATTAATACTGGGGGGGGGGGGGGTAAACAGCTGTGCAGATCTTTCTAT